CCTCGGCGGTCTCGAGGGGCGGCGGCCGCGCTGGTCCCTGCGAGCCGGTCGGTGGGCCCGGCGGCCGCCCTCGGCGCGGCGCCATGAAGCTGTACAGCCTCAGCGTCCTGTACAGAGGCGAGCCCAAGGCCGTGCTGCTCAAGGCCGCCTACGACGTGTCGTCCTTCAGCTTCTTCCAGCGGTCCAGGTGAGCGGCCCGGGCGGGGGCCGCGGCTCGGGACCGGCTCGCACGTTCTAGGCTGCTGTCGCATAGAAATTATAAGGGGCCTATGGAAATGCCGATCCGCCCTGAACTGGTAGACCGAGGCCCGGAATCTGGTTTTAGACCAGTACCTCCCGTGGTTCTAAGCCAGGCAGCTTGGGGGCCACGTCCGTGTGGTCCGGCGGGCTGCCCCGCAGTCCAGCGTGACAAACCCTCATTCTCCGTTCTGTGCACCGAGTGACTGAGGCCCCAGAGAGAATGCCGCAGCCAGCCAGGATTCAGACCCAACAGTACACTCTTCATGGCTGGGCTCTCGGTACAGAAGGGCTCTGTCGAGAGCGAAGAGTCGGAGGGGAGCATGGGGTTTACTGCGGGGCTCCAAGCTTTTGGACGTTTCTGGGTACTTTCATTGCAAGAAGGTGAAGGGTCACAGACACTTCCAGCCCGTGGCAGGGGTGGCGGAGGGGAGGGGGTTCAGACATGAAAAGAGAAAGACCCGGCGTCAGGGTCTGTGGTCACCCAGCCTCCAGGTCTGGTGGAGTCTGCCATCTGTTTTCACGGCTCAGTGGAGCTGGTTTTTTTCTTGGTGAGAGTGGCTCGCTGGCCGGATCTAAAACAATTTGTAATTTTGTTGAAACTTCTTGCCTCCTTGGGGTCAGTCTTGAAGTATATTCTTGATGCTTAGCTTTCTCTAGGAGGCTTGTGCTTTGCTGGTTTTGTGTGTTTGTGCCAACTCACTTGCCTCTGATTCGTTTTCTTCCCCGCCCACGTTTGCTCAGAGATTGCCTGTAGGACTGTGACCTCGCAAGTGTGAGATGCCCACACCCGCTTCCGAGGGTGAACGCAACTGATGCTGTAGGGTTGTTCCTCTGGGTGTCCTTTAAAACACGCGTTCCAGCCGAGCTCATTGTTTTTCGTAGAAAGCCCCCTCACTTCCGGCCGTCCTGCCTCACGATTACCAAACCCCAGGCTTGACCTTCGAGAGGTTCCCCAGCATTCCTGGCTCTCCTCTGTGTAGTTCCAGCCCTCTGAGCTCTGTCTCTCCTTGTATTGCAAGGACTTCTTATTCGAGACTCCTCTGAGAGACTACAGTTCTGTTGCTTAACATCTGGGACACGTTCTGAGAACTGTCAGGTGATTTTTGTCATGCAAACATCACCGAGTGTACTTACACACACCTGGATGGGGCAGCCGCCTATACACCTGGGCTCCACGGTGCAGCCCATTGCTCCTGCGCTATTATGTGCTGCTAGGCTGTACAGCAGTTACTGTACTGAACACGGTAGGCAACTGTGTATCTAAACGTATCTAAACAGAAAAGCTTCAGTGAAAGTAGGTAGAAAAGATAAAAAGATGGCACACCTGTAGAGGACGCTCGCCAGGAATGGAGCTGGCAGGACAGGAAGTTGCTCTGCGGAAGTCGGGAGTGAGGCTCGGGAGTGAGGCGAGTGGCCCTGACAGCTTAGATCATGGCAGTCACTGATGTGGACTTTATATACACTGGACGTTTCGGCTGCACTACATTTTTAAGAAAATATTTTTGTTTCTTTAGTAAATCAACATTAGCTTATTCTAACCTTTTAACTTTATTAACTTAATTTTTTTTGAAGTTTTTGACTCTTGTGAGAACACAGCTTAAAACACAAACATGCTGTACAGCTGTACAAACTCATTTTCTTTATACCCTGATTCTATAAGTTTATTTCTATTGAAATTTTTTCTTCTACTTAAAGATTTTTTTTTTGCTAAAAACTAAGACACACACACATAAGCCTGGATCTACACAGAGCCACGGCTGTTAGTATCACAGTCTCCCACCTCGGCCTCTTGTCCCACGGGAAAGTTCCTGGGGGCTGTACCACCCCAGGCAGCTGTCATCTACTGTGACAGCAATGCCTTCTTCTGGAACACCTCTGATGGACCTCCCTGGACGCTCCTCGAGGACATGTCACTCTTCAGAAATATGTCCATGGTGGTTTTCTTGGTCTGTTTCTTTTTTTTTCCTAGATTTGCTTTCGAGCAGATTCAGCCCTGTGAACTTCTCTCTTAAAGAAAACCTGTGGGCATTGGGTGCAGGTTTTCGTGCTTTCAGAGGACCTTGCTGAGGTCTGCAGTAACTTCTGCTAAACGCTTTACTGGGTTTTCTTGGAGGTTCTTCTTAGGAGACCTCTGCTGTCTATGCGGCCTGTCGTTGGCAAAAATGTGACGTGGCTCATGAGGAATCGCTCCCTCCCTCTAAGCCATTGTACCAGCCATTTCCCATTTCCTTGTCCTGGCTGAGCTCTTGTCCCTCATTTCTTCCAGAATGCCTAGCACACGTAGCCTGGATGACCCAGCCTTCACCGTGGTGCGTGGCACATTGCAGAGTGCAGTGTGTGGCCACAGCCGTAACTGACTATGCATCTGCCTAACTGTTTTTGCCACTTGTGTTTTTTCAGTGAAGTTTTTATTTGTCCTGCTTCTTGGAAGTTATTGGGGCCTTGAGAACAGGAGCTGGCTTCTGCTTCACCACTGTGTCCCAAGTCATACTCTGAGCAAAATGTTAACTTGACTGTGGCTGTAGAAACTGCCCTGGAGGTCTGGCATGGGTTGTGTGGGTGAACTGCGTGGCACACAGATGCGGTTTGAATGGTCGTGGTCATTCGTAATTTTCTGTGTGTTCATTCAGAAAGTGCTCATTATTTGTTACTAAGGTTGGGAGGGAAAAGACCGGAAACAGGCAGCCATGTGCCCTTAGTGCCCTCACTTTCCATTGTGTGGGGACAAGGTGATGGGTATGGATAATATTTGTCGTGTTTCTCAGTGTCCAGGAATTCATGACCTTCACAAGTCAACTGATTGTGGAGCGCTCAGCAAAAGGCAGCAGAGCTTCTGTCAAAGAACAAGGTAAGAGGACGTGCCACCCCGTGGGGGCTGGCGGGCCCGCTCCTCTGCTGGCGGTCCTCTCTGTCTCCCTTCCCCACGTACCCGAGAGTCTATGCCCACAGGTGCCTCGCCCGCCAGATCAGTGTCGCGCCAGAGCTCGGGCTCACTTACGATCGGGTCCAAGTCTCAGGGAGGCAGCACCTCCCTCGGAGCTGTGGTGCCTTGAGAGGGGTTTCCAGCTGGCCCTGTTGAGGTGCTTCTGCGGTCTGTGCCCCCCAGATTTTGACCAGGAACCTGAAAACACATGACTTTCTTCTTCATAATTCAGGTTTCCTGTAAGAATTTCTAGGCGTTTATTCGAGAGGCGTGTGTTCCGCAGATAGGCCAGGGAAGGTGCATGCGCACTCATCGGACAGAAACCAGGAGCACTGCCTGCGGCTCTGACCTTGGGCCGTGTGGCGAGGAGGTGCTGTGAGATGGTGTAAACACCAGTTACAATGCAGGTGGTCCTGGAAGTGTGTGCTCCGCGGGGTCCCTGTGCTGTCACAGCCCGGCGGGGACACTCGGTCGTGATCATTTAACTTCTCGGTTGTCCTCGGTCCCGAGTCCGCCTTCCCAGCTGCGTTCCTCGGGCACTTCCTCAGGCTCTGGCAGCGTCTCGGCCTCTGTGGTCTGTGCTGCGACCCCATTTGACGGTCTAGAGAGTGTCGAAGCCCCACCCTCCTCCTCACCCCGTGCTCGTTCATCTCTGACGCCCGTTTCAGGGGCGCACGGTCTCCCGCTCTCCTTTTTTCGTTTGTTTGTTTAGCATCTGAACTTTCTGGGTGAGGACCTTAAGAGAGGAGAGGGTTCTTATCTGTCAGCTGCAACCCTAATCTTCCTTCTTCCTGGGGGTTATGGTTAACTGTTGTCTCTGAATCCTTTCTAAGCGACAAACACCAATCCCATGGATTGTGAATACTCAGTAGAAGCCCTGTGCAGACTGTGCGTCTTGGTAGTTGGGTGACTTAAGTGATGCTGCAGAGCCCAGCCAGCAGCGTTCCTTCCTCGATGGTCCGGTCCCGTGTCCCCTGCCCACTCCAGGCGGAGCGGGCCGGGCCGGGCCGGGCCGGGCCGGGCTGCTGTGACAAGGAAGCCTGAGGCCCAGGGAGGTGATTCCCTGAGCAGGGCTACTTGCGGGATCTGCTCCGCTTGCCCAGGGCCCCCCTGGTTTGCGAGCACAGGCTCAGTGCGCTGCACCTGCTCGAGTTGCTGGTGGGTCTCACCTGGGGCTCAAGGCTGTGGCTAAGGTGCACCTGAGCCCGGTGGCCATGCTGGTGGCGCCTCAGACCCCGCTTTGCACGCTGGGTTTCTGCGCATTTCTGTCCCAACGCAGTGTTGGGCCGCATGGTGGCCGAGCCCCATCTTATGTACCCAACTCGCATGCCTACCCCGCATGTGCCCCCTCGGCCTGAGCTGCCCCACCGACCTCCTCAGGATGGCTTCATTGACCCAAAAGGCAGGATCCCCGCATTGTGACGCTTTCCCTGATCCGGGGGTGAAAGCCTAAAGCCTCGCGTCGCTCTGCACGTGTCTCCTTAGAATACCTGTGCCACGTCTACGTGCGCAACGACAGCCTTGCAGGAGTGGTCATTGCTGACAGCGAGTACCCGTCCCGGGTGGCTTTCACCTTGCTGGAGAAGGTGAGTGCGCGGCCGGGCTGGGCTGGCCTCCGCCGGGCGAGTGTGCCTGGGCCGGGTGCTGACAGTGCCCAGGCACAGGGGTGGAGTAGTGTGTCCAGGTCCACCTGTTTGCAGCTTTTTTCCTCGCCCTAAACTGAGGGACAGTCCGGCGTCCCTTCCCAGTTCCCTTCGTGGCGCTCATTTATGCCCTCTTCCTACCTGTGCCCTGGCTCGTGCTCCTCGATGCCACCTTGACTGTCCTCATCTGCCACAGAGTCACTGCATCTGTCCTCCGGGGCCGGGCTCTCGAGTCCACCGTGGCTGTGCCCTTATTCCCGGCCACTCCTCTTTCCATGCTGCCGCCTCCAGTGGCGACTTCCATTTTCTCCTGAGCCACATCAGAACCCAGCTCTGCTCTACCAACCTGGCCCCATCCTCAGGCCGTCCCTGTACACACTGGTCCTCTCCGCTCTGGGCTCTTGTTCGAGGAGCCCCTCCTGATGCACCCGGCAGCCCTGGAGGTCCCCGCCCCCGTCCCTGGCGCGGGTCCCGTGTCTGTCTTCAGTGTCTTCGTGTGGTGCTGGTTATAGGCTCCGCAAAGCGCTGGCTGCATCTCGTCCCCCAAAAGACGGAGACACTCACGAGCCCATAAAGCCTGCTGGCTGCTTAAAGCTAAGGGACCCGCTTTCATTTTTGAAGAATTGTTTGGAAAGTTAGAGGGCTGGCACCCTTTTTCTAGGATACAGGAAGCCTGATGGAAGCTCGACCCGCCATTCACAGCCCCCACTTTTGTCACTCACGGCCGAGGCTCGTCTCGGCCTTCGGGTTACTTCCCAGACACCTGGGACAGAGGGACCTGAGCCAGGACACCTCCTGGCCATTAGCTGCTCGCCACTGCCCACCACCCCGGGCCCTGGTCGCCGGCCAGCACAAGGTGGCCCTCGCTGAGCTCCTTTGTCTTGCAGGTGCTGGATGAATTCTCCAAGCAGGTGGACAGGATCGAGTGGCCTGTCGGCTCCCCTGCCACCATCCACTACACGGCCCTGGATGGCTACCTCAGTGCCTACCAGGTAGGGCTGCTGAGGCCTGGTGTGTGGACCGGGGGGCCCAGAGCTGTGGGAAACAGAAAAGCCACTGTCCCTAACTGCTGTGGCTCTGGTGACTTCCTTCCAGGCTGGATATCGACGTCAGGGCAAAAACTGCAGGTTCCGCATGAGGACCTGGTGGCTGTCCTCCCTGGCAGGCCGTCTCTCCTCCGTGAACACGTGTCCAGCTCGCTTGGGTTTGAGCTTTCCTTCCCAGTGGTCACTTCATTCTGATGTCGTTTCTGTTCTTGGCTCTTTCCTAGAACCCCCGAGAAGCTGACCCCATGAGTAAAGTGCAGGCTGAGCTAGATGAGACCAAAATCATTCTGGTAAGCAAGGAGGCCCCAGCGACGGGCAGAGCGGCTGGCCAGACGTGAAGCCCACACAGTCAACACGTTTTAGTCACGATCACACCGCTTTTCCGGAAGTGGTGATGGCTGCCTCTCATGCGTCAGGCGTCAAAGCCAGCCAACCGCAAGCCTGTCCCTCCTGCACCCTGTCAGCAGCACTGTTGTACGAGGGACCACGCTGGGCATCGGCGTGGCCCCCGCTCACCCTGGGGTGTGATGCACCCGTGTCCCGAGCCCGGGCCAGGAGCCCTGCACTGTTGTCTGAACCTGGTCCCTCGCTGCCGCTGCACTTTTTTTAACCTTGACCTACGTTTGGCACATGAACTGCTTCTGTTTTCACTTCCGGTTTGGTCCTAGTGGCCTCTGCCCCTGACTGAACCCCTTGCTTCCTACCCACCTCCGATCTGTCCAGATAAGAGCCATCGCGCTGTCACTCGTCCGTCCGCTTAAAGTTCTCGAGTAGCGTTCGACTCAGCTCCAGGATATCACAGACTCCTTGATGTGCTCTTGTGACCCTGTCCCCTTTCCTGGACGTCACTGCTCAGTCCCCACTGGTTCCGTGTCTCCCTGACAAGTGCACCTACCTTTATGTCCTCACTCAAATCATGCGTCACTAACAGCAGTGCTCAGCAGTTAATTGACCCTAAGCAACTGGACGTAAAGCCTAGCAAAGGTGCCCAAAAAACCCTGCCCCAGATACAGCGACGTCCCTGCCAGTAGTAGCCTGGCTTTCGTGCCCACCAGTGCCCAGGGGCAGAACCCTGCGTGCTGTAAACAGCCTGCCAGGGCTTCCCTCGAGGTCTTTGCAGACTGTGCTTGAGCTAGCGCAGTTGGAGGTGGATGTCTCCAGGCACCCTCTGTCCCTCGTGACCACCCCAGTGTGTCCCTGTCGCTGCATCAGAGTCAGCCCGTGGGCCTCATGGGACGGGCGGACACCTGCCCTTTCCCACCCTGTTCTTTGGGGAGGGCAGGTGGGTCCCGGTCACCCATCCTGGGCCAGTGGTCGCACTCGTTCAGGTCTCCTGTGCCCTAACGCAGTCAGCCTTCGTGCTGGGTCTGACCTGGCTGTGCGTGGGCGCCAGGGACTTCGTGCCCCTCTGTCACTGCGCCTGCTCACGCACGGGTTCCTGCCAGTCATTCCACAGAGGCTCCCGTAGCCGTAAGTGAGCCGTCGCCTCCCGAGGGCCTGCATGCCGTCACCCTCCGAGGGTTCGTGTGCTCGGCCCTGAGAGCAGAGGTGCCCTGGCGGCGTGCGTGGCGCTGGCACTGCACGTGGGTCCCCACAGGGCAGTGAGCCGCGCTCCGGCGGTGCTCTCCAGGCCTCTGCTGTGCAGGTCATGTGGGGCGTGCTCTCCCTCCTCGGGGTTCCTCAGGAGGGTGGTCGGGTCCTGTTGCACCCACAGTCGGACACTGTCCTGGCGCTCGTGGGGGGCCCCACAGGCAGCGCCGCCCGCGACCGCCCTCCGCGAGGGGCCGTGAGCCGAGCGCGCGTGCGCCGTGTCGTCCCCACAGCACAACACCATGGAGTCCTTGTTGGAGCGCGGCGAGAAGATCGACGACCTGGTGTCCAAGTCCGAGGTGCTGGGGGTGCATTCCAAAGCCTTCTACAAAACGGTGGGTGCTACCAGGTGGGGCCGGGCACCCCTTCCTGCGAGCGGGCAGCGTGCCGTCACTGGCGGCCCCCCACGACTTGCGCCTCCCTCAGAATGTTCAGAGATGGGCGGCAAGGCCAAGGGCCCCTGGCTTGTCCACGGTGGCACTGCCAGAGCAGAAGCAGGTGGAAGCCTGTCCCTGCCCCTCCTGCTGCCCCACGGGAGGCTGCCTTCGGCCTGGGCCCACCCCCTCGCCCCTGCTCTCTGGCCGGCGCTGGACACAGCCTTCTTCAGGGTCCTCACAGCCCTGCGTGTGGCTCCTCCGCACTCAAGACTGTCATGCCCGTCAGTGCCATGCCGCTGGGACTCGGTCTCTCCACACACCTTCACCTCGGAGGGAGGTGGCCAGTGGGGCGGGGGTATCTGAACAGGACCCGCTGCTTAGCGGGGACTCTGCGTTCTCCGCCATGGCCTTATGGAGACGTGGCGGGCAACCGGAGGGCGTCCCTGCCTGCTGTACGTGCCCGTCTGCCCGGCTCCCTCCCCAGCAGTGTAGTGGAGGCACACATGCAGGTCGTGTGTCTCCTCAGGTTCCAGTCCCTGTCCCCAGAGCTCCCTCTGCGGTACGCACCGTGCTGAGGTCGGGCCACTGTTCCCCTGCTGTCTCCTCCTTAGCTCCTCTTTGTCCTTTTCAAGGCCCGGAAACAGAACTCATGCTGTGCAGTCATGTGACCGCAGCCAGCAGAGGCCCCTGCACTGCAGAGTCACCGTCATTCCATCAGGACCGCAGCTCCTGGAGAAGAGGGCTGCCGGGTGACGTCGCAGAGCGGGCAGACTCGGCTTTCACTCCGGAGCTCCTGGCGGAACGGAGGGCTGGTGGAAGGGACCTGGGCTGGGGATCGTTCAAATTCACGTGTCTAGTTGTTTTTGAAAAGAAAGTTTGAGGCCCCAAAGGTGTATTTTCACGCCTAATGAAACCATAAACTCAAGTGACTCCTGCAGAGGGCTCGTTTGTAACCCTGGGCGGGCCCGGCTGGCTGCGGTCCCCTGTGCCGGGCCCGCTCTTTGTCGGGAGCCCTTGGGTGTCCTGTGCGTCAACTATGAACACTCCAGTAAGGGCGGTCCTGACCCACAGGGCTGGGGGCAGGGCGCACACTTGGTTCTCTGGGGAAAGCCTCCCGGGGCCACTGGGGTGGGGGTGAGCAGGGCGCCGGCCAGTGTTGCAGGGCCAAGGCCGTGAGGACAGTCCCTGGGCGTCGCAGATCCTGAGACGTGGTTTGCGTTCCTGCGGAGATTGACGTCCACACAGTCCCACGGAGGTGCCCGCAGCCTCGCGGCTTCGCCTCGAACGTTGCTCTCAGCTGCGCGCCTCTCCGGCGACTACCTGGGGCCCGTGTGACTTAGCAAGTGCTCTTTCCTGTGGCCAGCGTGATGGGCACCGAGAGGAGGCGCCAGCCGACCTGAAGACTCACGTGGTCTGAGCCAGTCCCCCACCCTGCCTGGCCTGCAGCAGGAAGTCCAGCCCTGGGAACAGACCCACAGGGTGGCCCAGGCGATGACCAGCAGGTTCGGGCCCCACTGGGCCTGCCCAGCCCCTGGGTCCTATTGCCGTGTTCCAAACTGTGCTGCCTGAGAACGCAAGCTCAAGGTCTGCCCTTGGGACCTGTCCTCGTGGAGGCCCTTGCTGCGGTGGCATCAGCCAGGGTGGTCCTGTCCTCACAGCCCCTCCCGGAGAAGGTTGCTTCTGGCCCTACTGGGCAGGTCCCACTGCCTCTATGGGAAGCTGGGCTTTTGAGGACCCCGTGCCCGACAGGTTTCTGTGCCGCTGCCCTTTCTGTCTGGACACTGCTGGCCGGAGGACTCGTCTTCTGTTGCCATCCACACCCCCAAAGGCGAACGCACAGACCCACCCTGCTCACGGCTGGGGCCCTGCCTAGGGAGGTTCAAGTGTGCCTGACTGTCCTGCTTGTCGGGGTGCTGGGGAGGCACCGAGGGTGGGTGCAGGTGGGGTAGAGAGGGAGCTCAGGCCCTGTGCCCGTTTCCCTGCCCACCTCCATTCTAATGTCCTTTGGCAGATTCTACTAACTGCCGCCTCGCTTCTCTGTTTCAAGAAGTCCCTACCTGGATAAAGTTCTGTTTTGAAATTCCCAGGTGGTTCTGTGCTTTATTTGACCCCGGGCTCTTTCCTCAGGGGCCCTGCTGTGCAGCTCTGGGGGGTGGGTCTCTGCTGGAACCCCCAGCTCCTGGGGTCCTTCCCTTGGACCTTCCAGCAAGGAAGGAAGGAGAGGTGGCTGTCAGCCACAGCCGAGCGCATGGGGCTGCGCAGTGTCCTTGCAGGCTGTGGAGTCTGGCCTTAGTTCAGGGAAGGACCTCATTGGCTGGTTGTTCACGGGAATGCGGAGACTTCACAGCCCTGCTTCTGGCTGGCCCAGTGCCTTGTTCTCCTTGTGACTGGGAATCGGCAGCTCTGGGACGTGGCTGGACCGAGTGTGCAGCCTCTCCTGCCAAGACCCAGGGAGTGCTACCCAAAGCAGGTGCTATTTCAGAGTGACGAGTGAATGCCCGTCCTGGCCTCCTCCCGCTCGGGGTGCCTGGCCCTGCCTGGGGAGCCTAACCTACGCAAGCCAGGACGAACGATGGCCTTAGGATCCTCAGGGGTGCTCGTGGGAGGCTGGCTGGGAGGCTCCTCTGGTGACAGCTGAAAGGCCACGTGGGAGACACTGTGCTGCCGGCTCTGTCCTAGATTCTCCAAGACAGCTCTCAGTCCACCAGGTGCGGCCTGGCAAGCCTGCCCTCCTTCCCACACACCTGAGAACACCTGCCGGGTGCAGCCCACTAGCATCCAGAGGCAGACCTGCGGTGGGCAGGGGACCTGGCAAAAAGCATCGGCTGCACTTGAACCGGTTTGTCCTGTTTTCCTTTTATTTGCAGTTTTCCGAGACAGAACAAAATAACTTTTTTGTACACTTACAGGCTCAGAAAAAAAAGACAGTGAAACTCAGCAAAAAGGAGAAAAGGCAGGCCAGCACCGTGGGCAGCGACCCTGTGCCAGGCGCTGGCCACTGCCACGCACGGACATCTAGCTGGATGAGCCGGTGTGGCTTGCTCGTAAGGGGTCATGCAAAAGAACTATCCCCCGGGGGGGGGGGAAATTAACCCAGACAGGCAGCTCTGTGGAGACGACGGGAGAGGGAGAGGCAGGGAGGGGGCTCCGGGGATCAGGTGGCCAGGCCACACACTGTCCATGGCCAGCCATGCTGCTCGCTGCCCGAGGCCTAGGGAACCTGACAGATGTTTACCCTGTGTCCATGGGTGGGGACAGCTGTCTTGAGCACAGCTATGGATGAGCAAGTGAGTGTCCACTCTGAGTGTCTGTCGATGGACAGTCCCCTTGAAGATCAGCATCCTGTGTTCTGTTCCCCACTCCACGCCCCTTCCTTGGCGTAATTTGTGAGAGGAGATGAAGAAAATCCTTGTTGAAAATGGGAATTGCGGCGGGCAGGTACTGAGGCAGGAGGGTCCCACACCTCTGGTCAGGCCCATCAGGGCCGCCCCCCGCTGCGAGCAGGTCGCCCATCCCTGAGCCTCACCACAGTGCCGACCACGGTCACGCAGGGGACCGCGAGTTGCGCCCAGTCCGCCCCCTGCCCACCTCGGGGTCTCCGACACACACTGTGGCCTCCGAGGGGCTGTGGCATCATCAGCCCACCCCGCTCCTACTCCAGGCCCAGACAGTGAGAGCGCTGTGCCTTATGTGGACTCAGGCCTGGACCCCTGCCGTGGCCCCGAGCCCAGGCCTCGGGCCCACAGCCTTCCATGGCAGGGCGGGCAGGCAGAGAGGGAAGGCCCCCAAACAGGACGGAGGTCAGCCCAGGGTCCCCTCCCCACGGGGCTGCAACCTTGGGAGCCTTCTCAGCAGTCACTAGCCAGGCTACAGTGCCCCCTCTGCAGAGCCGGAGCAGGAGCCGGCGAGGGCCTGCCTCTGCACTGCCATCCACCATGGGCTCTGGGGTGTGGGGTCCTGGGCAGCCCATGCCCACGCCTTTCCGGAGGAGAGGGAGAGAGAGAAGCGGGAGGGGACAGCTGCACACAGGCCACCGGCCCCCAGCCCCTCCCCAGGTGACACCTGACACTCCTGGCAGCCAGCTCTGCAGGTGGAGTCAGCCGCGTGCAGGGGTGGGCGCCATCCAGCAAACACCTTTCTGGGCGACAGGCCCTGTGGACAAGTTCACTGCCCCTGTCCCCGAGGCCAGGGGAGAACGGACATGTGGAGCCTGGGTGGGGCGTGGCCAGTCGGCTCCAAGCCCCGCAGATGCCAGTCATGTTCACAGCTTTCGCCTTTGTTTAGTTTTTTTTATCCACTACAGCCAACATCAAGTATTTTTTTGTGGTTGTCGTTGTCATCTTGTTTTTAAAAAGAAATCACATCTGGTCTTGGTTTTCTGCAGACACAGGCACCGGGGAGGAACGAGGCAGACACAAACATGCGACAGGCAGGCCGTGCGCCCGGAGGCGGCTGGGCTCCAAACACAGTGTCAGCTCTGAAACCGGCAGGCGGGCGGGTCAGCCTCCCACGATGGCCGTCCCCGGCCCACCTCCGGAGTCTCACCTGGTCTGTGCAGCGCAGGCTGGGGCCGCCCCCTCCCCAGGCCTGGGAGGGGCCGGGC